GAACGTCTATACCATTCAAGATGGTCGGGGATTGAAAGTAGTGAATGGGACGCAGCTTCGCAAGTGGCATGATACACCTGAAGAGCGGCCGAATAGACCCGCTGCCGAAGCCGACCTGACGGAGGGAAATGAAAATCGATGGCATGCGAACGAGCTTTAAGGGGTGGAGGTGTGTAACGTGATACTACTGATGGGGAGGCACGCGAGTAGTATGTGTTGTTCGTAGAATTTCGCTTTGCGTCAAAAAGGAAAGGGAGATCTGTTGCGGAATTCGTGGAGCCACTTTGTAATATTTGCTTGGATTTGACCGACGAATGAGTGGAGTCACTTCCAGGAAAGGCAGCGAAGGCCTTCTTCCTTTCAATAGTATGCAAGTCGTAGCACCTAGGATGTCTTGCGATAACGCGCCCGGCGATCTTGGAGCCAACGTTAACCGCAGATGGTGAAGAGCGACACGGAGGTCTCCCAAACATTCAATCTGTGGATCCAGATTCAATGTCTTTGGAAAACATGAGAGAAAGATAGTTTCAGCCACCAACCTCCGCAGGAAAGCTGAACAAAGTTGTATGGGGAAAAACACCGTCCTTGAATTGAGCACAGTAAATAGTTTTTCGAGGCCTTTAGGCAAGACTATCCACATGGGTCGTTGTCCTACATGTTTTGACACAAAATTCATCATAGGAAGCACGAGGGTCAGATTGCCCAGGTTGAGAAATCAGAGCGGAATCAGAGCACGAATATTCCAGTTGAAAATTAATGCTCCATCTTGTGCTCAGTCGACAGTTCAATCCGATAGCAATAACCCTCCAGATGTATCCATTCATAACCACTGACAAATAAAAGTTCACCGATGAATTCGTTTTTCTGTCAACCATCCAAATGCATTCGGTTACATCCTTTTGGAATAGCGTACAGGACACCCAGCCAAACCCTTCTTTCCTGTGGGGGAATATTGATAAATAGAGTGCGGTCCTTGTGACCTGAAGTAGGAATTAAACACTGTTTCACCGCATATTCTTTGGTTACTACTCCATATTACTGAGGTTGGTTGGATTGTCTCAACCTCTAACATCGTTCAGCTGTAACGATCTATCAGTGCCTAGCTGCCATGCCACCCGACGGGAGCACAAGGGCTGGGGTTGCGCAAGCCGAGATAGAAGTCGAGATGCAGAGGCAGGTTTCAAACCACCAATCTTTCGGTCAGTAAATTTGCGCTGTAACCACTGAGCCACCTAGCCCACCTGAAAGCTAGTGACTAGATATGTAATGTGAATCGGGCTGTATCTTGGTACTTCTAAATCCTGGTTTGCGATTACTCATATCCAGCGGAAGAAATTCCACAACAGCCAAGAATGTGAATTCCCCACCAGTTTAGTACAAGGGCTATCACGCCAACAACGAAAAGCACTTGAATTATTCCTCACGTGCAGAGATTCAACCGTCACCATTGGTAGGACAACAGTTGACGGCTGCCGGAGTATGTTTCAGACTGACGAACCAATCGGCTGAAGCTAAAGGCGTATCCTTACCTGTTTGTAGCTGTCTGTCACCATATGCTATGTGTTTAGTTGATATTTTCTCCGTACACATTGGTCAAGTCAATCAATCCCCTGAGCCTGAGGGCTAGGCAACATACTTGCAAGACGGGGTGAACTCCAGTAGAAGTTTTCTTCCGCTAGGTCAGAAGTGAGGACTTTTACTAAAGAAACAATCGTGAAGGTCAGATTTGTACTTAGTGAGAAAATAATTCCTTAGTATGAACCACCCAAAGGCAGGTGTATGCACGAACGGAAATCCATTAGAAAAAGCATTGGACCGATGCCGAGTTAAATGACAGAGCCTACCGGCATTTTTAGAAGCATGATGGGAACATGTAATGGTTTGTAACATCCGTTTACATGGCCAGGAAGTACTGTCGTATGAACTTACGTGCTTTGTATAGCGAAACTATTGAGGCCGACGGCATACTCAACCGAGAGATGTACCATGTATGAAAATGTGCTACACCCGACCGAAAGTAATAAGAGCGTGAAGTGGCTGAATGAAACCGATAGACTTTGACGGGTCTTATCGTCCCTTACAGGAGCATTCCTAGAGAGAACACAACGGTACGAAGAGGAAACAAGTAACGGTTTGGACTGTCGTCCGTTTTTGGAAGTTTTGCTGTTCCAGTTCAGAGTCGTCTTCAGGTGGTCCTCAACTAGCATCCAATTCCATTTTCAGTCTATTATGCCACCCCTTCATCGAGAGCTTGAACGATATATCATAGCAGGACAAAGACTGTTTTATTTCGGTGCCCACATTTCTAGTGTTTTCAGTAGGTAATGGTACTAAAAACAAACCAGGTGTATCAAAACCACTGTTTCATATTTCCTTCTTGGTCTGCAGGTCAGTACTCACGTGTTTGAGCAGAAGTGACCAAGGTGGAACATGATCAAGCAACCACGGTTCTACTCGACAGAAGCATTTAATTCAGTCATGTGCCCCGATGGGACACGGACTATTATCCAGCAGAGTGAATAATTACATGCGCAAACTAATAGCACAGGAGCACAGTATGAGGTCAGATACTAATGTCCTCTTCGGTCAATCAGTCAGTTTTTTTCGGTCCACAAACCAGTTGCTACCGCTTCGTTCACCGAAGATAAAGAGGCCAAAGGTGTGAGAGCCACTCAATGTTCTTTGCAGAGTGAATCTAACACCGATCCCTATAGTTTTTGAAGCACTCTTCTATTCATAAGCAGAACCAAATTGCGCTGCTGTCGTCTAATAAGACCATAACCTTCTCGTCATGGATAAAGAACTACGCTGTGAGCTAGCTACCTCCACGCTCAAATGGACTTCGCTGTGTACAGAATTCAATGGTAAAAAGTAGTGACCGACGGAGATGGTTCAAATCTATAGGGTTTTCTCTCTATAAAGAAATTCGCGTATCCAAAACGTTCACGTCAAACGCATTTGACCTGCCTGACGTTTACTAGGCATAATATCCCATGCGTAATTCATCAGTCATCCTGACCATAATCAACAAAATACCCAACAGTAAATGCGCGCACGTGACTTCCGCACATTTATGATAATCCGATCGTACGGAAGCCAGTCCGATGCATGTACGGGCCACTAAGCTAAATAGTCCGAACGATAGACTCTGGGGAGACCTAACCATATTGGTTAACAGGGACCGACCATAGTGCATCATCGTCCGAGACAACAACTCGGTGTTGACACTGATGCTTCACTCCCATGAAACCATGAAGTTTAACTAATTACGTTTAGAGCCTTAGAATGAAAATACAATAGAGTGGGTGAGGGCGGGGACTCGTAACTTGAACAATCGCAAACATTCCGAATTGCCTACAACCCCCCAGGCGCTCCCTACAAAACGCTTTGTCCGACAACAATGTCCATTCATCCTTGTTCATATTCGTCGTCGATGATATAATGAAGCCAATGCTGGGAGAACCTCAAAACTCGTTTTCAAATCGTTACTGTTGTCGATCTGGACTACGTAGACAATCCTATCCTTATCTCTGAAGACGTATGATACGCACAGGTTCTTCGCCAGCCGGAAGGATTTCATCAAAAGAAAAAATTACAAGTTCGGCCTAAAAGGCGTCAAAGTTGCAAACTTAGAGGCAACCGCGGCATCTTCTCTGTAGGAGAGCAGAGCAACTGGCCATATCCTTAGGGTTACGTGGTGTGAGTTGCCCATTCCCATTACCTGAGACACAAATTAGCACCAATTATCCAACAACGCACTGGTGATATATCCTGGAATGGTGACGAAAAGTTTGCAATTCAATTTCCAGGCTCGGTGAATACAAACAAAACCTGATCAATGATTAAAGGAATCACCAGCCCCAAAAGTGTGACTCGGGTGTTATATAATGGTGGATAGATTACAGTCCAAAGTGCTCTTGACTGTGTCAAGGATCCCAGCCTTCAAATTCAACACCTAGTAACGTATGATACATTTCGCGTGCATCGATCCAATCAAATAGTTTTCTATGGCGATCTCGCCCTCAAATGTTTCGTTCCGTAAAAGGTATCAAGTCCTCACGGAGACCGGCATATACCTAAGAGTACAATACAATTTTTGTGGGAATACGGTATAACAATACGGTTTTTGTGGGAATCCGGTTTCGGAAAGTATCGTCCGGATTCTTGAGGTCTGCACTAACCAAAAGGAATCCAACATGGTACCAATTAAGTATTGCAGTGGGTTTTTTTGGTTTCGAACAGTAGCTAACTTATCGCTGATTCAACAACACCAACTGACCCGTACGAGACAGGGATAGTAGTGGTCATCTATTCAAAGTAAGATCTACAAGGACATCAGTATCAGCGTTGTAAGTTTGTTTGGGGAAGAATAAGACGTAATCATTGTGACGAGGAAACTTACGTGAGGAATCATTTGCATGAGCCGAGGGATCTCCTCACCCAACACACTGTCAATGTGCTCCAACAACCGCGGCTTTAGTGGACTAAATGAGGAGAAATCGTGGTCTTGGAGCAAGGTGCGCATCTTGTTCACATCCGGAAAATCGCCAAGCGGAATATGATACTGTCTTGAAATTACTGAATAGGTTTGATCCAAATTCTTTAGCAACTCCTGTTTCTTCTTCGATTTCCCCATAAAGCTTGGCATCTCCCTCTTCAAATGTCCAATTATATAGGCATGTACCTGAGAAATACGGAAGATTCGATAAGTACGACACAGATTATCAAGAAACACCGCCCAATGCAGAGCCGCATGGAGTTTTAAAAATCAGCACCCATTAAAATAAACAGGATCTCATTTGTCAGGAAACAGGGGCTAAGAAGCATAGCAGTCTACTGGTAGTGGGTGCCCCATGATTTAAAAAACAGTAGCTTCGAAAATGTCCGGCTAGTTCCTCGAGATTTACCAAGGGATCGCTACAGGTAGCACCAAAATCGCTAACGGATTCATACTCAAGGGGTATAATTCCAACCCTAAGATAATTAGATGCGTCAAGCGATGAGGCCAAAGAAATGTGGCGAATCGCTAATCAGAGCCGTATGATAACCAATGATGTCGATATCAAACGTAACCTGCTATCGCCTTCAGCCCCTGAGAGATGTGTTATCAGGTAGCCAAGTAACGCGCACGAATCAGAGCGACAAATGCGCCAAATTCGAGCTATCACAGCAACCATCGAAACAGTCACAAAGCTAAATTCGAGCACTCTTCAAGCGTAGGCCAAGAGTAAAGAGAGGGACTTATACAAGGTCTTTTAAGGGAATGAAGCTTGCTCACGAAAAGCAGGATGACCAACCTAACAGATAGGGAAGGCAAACAAATCACTCTGTACATCAAGAACGCCACCGCAAGACGGATACAACAGCATGAAATAACGAGGAGCTATAGACGGGGAAACGAGTCCGACTTGAACGGCGGTTACATACAATGCGCAGACAAGAACAAAGAAGGAACAGGTATTAAAAAATGTACGGTACTCCACCGAAGACGATAGGAACTATCTTCCTCAGACTCAGCGGGATAGTTGGAGGGAGTAAGACATACCTGTCTGACTCCTAATACGACTGTGCATAGCAGGCACCTTCTAAACAGCACCGCGTTCTTTAAAAGTATTTCTCCTATATTGAGCAATGCGCCGGAGGTCGCGGTCAACCGTTTGGTGCACGGCCTTTAAAGCCAACCTTTCCCAATCCATCCTTCCTTGGGGGAAAGGCAAAATTATCGCTTCTATAACTATGGACATACTGGTCACCCGAAGGAAACAACTTACGGCCTACACACAACTATTGCAGAGGACAGTATGACTTTGTCCACAGAAATCGTAACACAATTTCTCGTAATACGATTACTTGCTGTTGAGCTGCTCCCCATCGAAATTTCTGGCATAGTTGAACCTTACGGAATGGAACTCCGTTCCGTATAGTCTGCAAAATCATCACAACAGTGAAGTCCGGCCTCCGCGAGAAAACGGAAGCTTTAGGTATGGATATCAGTAATTCGAGTCAGGCTCGAACGTCCGCGTGTGATGTGGACGTGATAACCACGACACCATTGAAACCTTCCGGGAAGAGCCCTTGCTAAGCAAGCGTGTTAAGGAAAACAGAACGGCAAACTTCTGGAATTAATAAGCCTGTTGCTGCTCAGAAGGTTGCTGTGCGCAGCTGCATTAGGAGTCAGACAGTCATGTCTTATCCCGTTCGTCCTCAGGCCAGGTCGGCTCCCTGCAACCAAGTGGGTCAGACTGTTGAGTCATTGGCTCCAAGAAAAGTCCCTCAAGAAATTTCCAACAATCGCTTTCTTGCGGTTCAGGTATTTTAGTCAGAGACTAGGGGGAAGAATCATCAAGTAAAGCCCTGCATTCTGCCACTACCCTGTGGGTCAAACCTTTTAGTCAAGGCTCAAGGTGAGGTACCTCAACCAAACCCCCTTCTTCGGTCTGAGCATCTGGGGACATCATTCGCCCTCACACCTCATCGTTCGCTGGCCCTCCTCCACACCCTCCCTACCCATTGTAGAATATACTGAGCCCAACACATATGCCAATCTCCTAGCCATTGTTCCGTGGATAAACTATCGCCCGGAAAAAAAACAAATAAAAAACTCTTACCGATTTCCAATGACCTGGTCTATGTTGCAGCTTTCAATGTCTGTACTCTGTCAAACTGGGCAATAGGTAACTCCTGCTGAAACTTTGCTTCCCCGCTGCCGATTTAGTCGGTGTCTACGAAACACATACAGGTTTCCACTTCGGTCTTTCAACCCAAATCGCTTATGATGAGTTCCCACATTCCAGTAATCGGGTATCTGGCGATCCTAGTCCCAGTAAACGGTCGTCTTTGTGCTGAGACAGAATGCAGTCCTGAATTTGAGAAAGAAGGAGTTTAGCGAGATCTGTTCCGACTGCTTTGGCCAACAAAGGGACGAATATAGTAATACGAACACCCAGTTCGGACGACGAGGCACGGTAGGATCACAGTGAAGCACTAGATTTGGAGTCGATGCTCAGTGTATGGATAATTGGTTGAGACTTATTTGGTTGTGTGCTGATTATCGTCTGTTCCTGACCAGTACGAACTTCAAGCACAAACGCTCACGACGAGTTACTTGGAAACTATCGACCACAGGACATTCATGGACTCATGTGAGGAGGGCCAGTGGAGGGCCCTAACCGTCGTCCTGTCGAGGTCTGTGCACACTGGCGGTATCCGAGCTCGCGCGCAACTAAGATACTTGAACTAATAATAATCTCACGCCAAATCGGTCACTGTCGCTTACCTACTGCGTACGGTAGGATGGGCATGCGAAAAAGTGCTCCGACTGACGCCTCCTTTCTTGCAGTTCTTCCTCTACCCTACCCCACCCCAATTTGAATATACTGTTCCAACAACAGGACTGACCACTTTTTGTTTACCGTGCACCACACTCAGCTGCAACTTGTGTAAATTCGACTTCAGTGATAACGCTTAACATTTCCAAGTCTGCTTTCGAATCCTTGAAGTCGGTCTGCTTGGGTGCCTTTAATGTTCAGACACTGAAGCGAGCAGGACAACAAGTAGGTCTTCGAACTTTCTGCATAAACCTTCGCACAGCTTAACATAGCGGCCACCAACTACAAATTAACCGTGGACTAGTTGAATCACGTGGCCATCAGCCATTGATGGATAGTCATAGTTCAAAACTGCCGTTCCTTCTATAGCACACGAGTGTATACCGATCACGCTGTGGTGCGAACATTCCTAGTAGTTTATTTCTCTTCAGGCACTCGAAAGCAAGAAGTATACCAATCCACCATCTTTGGAGAACTACCATAGCTCAGCAATATCGAACCGAGCTAGCTCAACTACTCTCGACAGTAACACAATGCTCAGCACGCGGATAACATGGTACAATGTGAAAGGAGATATGCTAGCGGTACGACGGTACGGTATGCTGTCTGTACGACTACTCCAATAGGGTCAATCGACCACTGGATATCTCTAAGATTGCTAGCACTGGTTGATGCCGGAAAATTCATACAAGCAGACAACGAGTACGACGGTGCACGCAAAATCCCTCAAACGCCAAATAGTGAAAAACCTTGAGAAATACCGAGAGCTCTGGTGAGCATCAAAATATGGGGAGATTGAGAAGGCTTTAGCGACCGGAAACGGCCGTGCCCTATACCAGTTGATACGATCAGCTTGTCCGTCAAGGGTCGAGTTTACAATACTACACTGCGCTCCATACGGGGCAAGATGGTTCAAGTCGTTAGAGCGCGAGTCTACTAACCGGAAGGTTGGAGCCCGACCTCTGCCTCCCGATTTCCCCTGTCTAGACTGGGGCAACCTGAAAGTATCCTAGCCCCTGTGTTTCCTTCGGGCGGTATGGCAGTTAGGCACCGAAAGGGTGCTACAGGTGAACGACACATCAGAAATCTGGTCGCTGCAAACTGAGGACGTCAAAAGACTTTTAGTGTTTGACCATCGATGTCTTCGGAGCATTGCCCGAGTCTGGTGGGGACACCGGATCAGCAGCGCTTAAGCACGTCGAATGATATTCGGAAGAAATGGCTCACCCTCGATAGATGAACTGATCACACTGCACAGGTTGCGCTGGCTGGACGAAATGAAACCGAGACTCCACTCGAGTGTTATCCTCTTAAGTGTTAGACAGAAAACTGCTTACGGAATGCCTTAAGAACTTTAAAGCGAAATTTGAAAGCCAGTACCAGCAAACACAGCTGCGCTGGTCATTGCCATCTTCCTGGATGGGGACCCCGAGACAAACCATATCAATGGTTAGAGACATTGTCAGACATGACCCGTCGCGCCCTCAATGGCGCTCATGCATCCAAGCTATTATCTTCAATGCATAGCTCCCTACCCAATTCCCCCACTTAACGGTCAACTGACAGTGCTGTAGTTACGCACTAATTTATCAGCTCCCGCTTCCAATGCGCAGCTACCTACCCCACCTCCTCGAACCATCCGTGAACGAAACTGTGGCAGCTATAACCTATGTACGACAAGTACGCGGTACTTACAGCTGATAATGATAATGACGACGATCGAATGGCTCTAGGAAAGCAACAGTCAGTCATTAATTCACTCGCAAACATTCCAACTGGCAAGACGGGCCGAACACTTCGAAGAGCAGTTAAATGGCCTCCTGTAGCCAACCCTCTAGAGAGAGTTCGTGGGGCGAATGGAATATAAACCTTCATAACCCATCAGAAGAACTAAAATACATAACATGAGTACGGAAACATGAAAGGGAGAAGGATGAGATGGTCTGTACCCAGCCCTCTTCAAAGAAGGCGGAGAACCCCTGGTGACCCACCTGACAAAGTGTATACGTGCGATATGAAGCGCATTGCCTGCAGAATGAGACAGGCCGACAGTTATTTTTATCTTCGCAAAGTGTGCGTGATGCTGTGTGAAAACCACATGAGCCTGGAAGCGGTGACATCGGTGTTTTCCGGTCCTACTCTTCGGAGCATTGCCAAAATATGTTGGTAACACCGAATCAGTAATGCTGAAGTACGTCAAATGGTTTTTGGAGAAAATAACTCGGCCATGGTAGATGAACTGATCACACCCTATATGTTGCGCTGACTTGGTCGTGCTCCAATCAGTCGATGAACTTCCTGTTAGAGCCCTTTCCACACAGCCACACGAAGAGTGAAAACGAGCCAAAGGAAGTCAAAAAACTTGGCAGCGAGGCATGAAAACCATTACCAGCAAATGCAGCTGCACTGGCCATTTCCGTCTTCCTGGATAGGCACCCCAAGACAGGATACATCGATGCTAAGAGACATTACCAGACACACTTAAATTATTTCAGCTACCGCCCCAAATAAGCAGCTATCTACTTCACCTCCCCAAGTCATCGCCGGCAGCTATAACAGCAGTACAGCAAGAAGGCGGTTTTTCAGCTGATGATGGTGATGACGTTTACAAATGCATTACGGAACGGGGATATTGTACGCGTGCTTCGGAGACACAACATACATCGAAACGGAGAACAAGGTGTGAGCGAGAGCCACTTGTTGCACCAGTGAACACAGTACACATGCTGAAAGTTACACTTTAGAACATCCCCCTCAAATTCAGTGAGTTTATTTATATTTATTTCACTTAGATACGGTGCAACGGTTATCTAGTACATAGCTAAGTGAATCAGATGTATCTGGGGGAGGGAGAAGTAGTGACTCAGTAGATGAAGAGTTTTAGGGAATAATGATACTTTCCAATTGCCCATACCGAAGAAAGGGGTTGGCTGAGCCTTGACTAAGAAGTCTGACCTGGGGGCGAGATGGCTCGGTGGTTAGAGCGCAAACTTACTGATCGGAAGGTTCATGGTTCGAAACCGATACCTGCATCTCGACTTCCTCTGTCGAGGTTTAGGTAACCTGGCAGTATCCCAGCCCTCGTGGCTCCTTCGGGGTGCATGGCAGCTAGGCACTGCAAGAATGTTACAGCTGAACGATTCTTCAAAAGACGTCTGACCCACAAGGTACCGGGGTAATGTAGGGCTTTGCTTGGTAGCCCGTTCTCATAGTCTGACTTAAAAGTCTTAATCAGGAGGAGGCAGTTGTTAGGGCTTTATTGAGAGACTCTTCTCGGAACCAACGACTGAATAGTCCAACCCACTTGGCTGAAGGCGGCTGGCCTGAGGAATCAGAGAGTAATGCAAGACTGTCTGAATCCTAGTGCATAGCAGGTAACTTTTGAGCATAACCACGTACTTTAATTCTAAGAATACTTCGACCACATTAAGCAATGCACCGGCGGTCATGATCAACCATCTGGTGTGCGGCGTTTAGAGCCAACCTTTCCTCACCCGTTCTTCTTTGGGAGAAGGCAGAATAGCCGTCTCTATAAGGACATACCGGTCATCCGAAGGAAACAACTTACGGCCTACATACAGCGACCGCAGAGGAGAGTACGACTTTGTCCATAGAAATCGTGACACAATTTCTCGTAATACGATTACTTGCTGTTGAGCTGCTCTCATCGAAATGTCCGGCATGGTTGAATCTTACGGAATGGAGTTTCATTCAGTATGGCCTGTAAGATCATTGCGGCATTGAAGCTCGATCACGACGACAGGATGGAGACGTCAAATTAGGTCTTAAATACACGGGGGTAAATTTGGACCATTCTCCCAAATTGGTGCTTGGTGTACGCTGCAGCTGCCAGAAGCGGATGCGACTCGCACCTGAAAACCTAAACCGCGGTACTACACTGCTCCCTATGTGATTTGCGCGGTAACAAGAGCCCATAAAACATCAGGGTGCACGATTTGAAGGGTGGGTCGAAAGTCTCGAACCGAACCTTTCAACCTCGCGGATCCTGATATATACCACAGGCATTTAAAACAATAGGAAGTTTAATAAACATCTAGAGGCACACAACTCACTTTTGCTAGACGAACGCGCCGAATAAAATCGTTCAGCTTTCGCATGGCAGAGTTTGCAGGCAACGATTGCAAGTCGCGGAATAGGTCCTGAGCTTCGAGCTCGAAAAGTCGACGATTCATGTCGAAATGCAGAGGTTGATCCCAGAATGAACCAATATGAACACGGACAACCTCAGGAGTACCAAGCACCTTCCCAAGTCCCCACATAAGAGCACCGTACACACGCATTAACTGCTGGGAATCAATCATGTCGGCCTTGTTGAGAACAATTCGAATTTTGTCGTCATAACCGCGCAGCGACTCAATAACACGACGAAACTCATCTGATATATCCAATTTGTGGGCATCGAAGAGAAGGATAATCCGATCAACAACTTCCGCGAACCAGTGAACAACCTCGGTAAACTCGTAGCCGCGGTCTAAACGCTGCTTTTCTCCACTCAATATCCCAGGGGTATCCACGATAGATAAGTTCTCCAACACAGAATTTTTTAGCATACAACACTGGAACCGATTGAGGAAATTATTGCCGAATCGAGAGAGTGGGCGAAACGGCTTGTCTGCATCAACTACAAGTGCATTGCCTGGTATTATACCACGCTCCCCATGCATGACCACACAGAAGCGGTCTGTCGTTGGCTCCGGTCCAATGTGCATCCCGGGGAACGCCTCGCCCAGCAGGTATTTAATGAACGTTGTTTTACCAGTAGAGTATTGGCCCAGGAGAAGAATCATGGGTTTCGCTGTGAAATCTCCGGCATCCAAAATTGGAGAATGAAATGCAGAGAACTGATAGGAAGTTTCTAAAGGGCGGATGCGTTTTTCGTAAATTTCGCGGAGAGAAGAAACAACTGTTTCAGACTTAAAATCCTTCTTCTTTTTAGCAGACGTCATGCTCAAACACCCGCCAAAACAGTCCTTCCCGCTAGTCCTTGAGCAGCTCGCCATGCAGCACAAATAAAGAACAGTTCAAATTTCATTTCAGCAAACTCAAGGATTCACTGGCACAGAAATGATGTAAGACCCCTTCAGGTGGTCTTGCACCTTCAGTGACCAGTGCGCCTTGACGCAAAGCTGAAGAGGAAGAGCCGCCGAATAAAGGTACGTGTTTCAGTGCAGGGTGACAGGCCTTAATTATTTGTTGCTATGCCACGCACTTTTACGGCAAAGGTCATTATTTCTCACGGGTTCAGAGGGTTGTGCGCTCCTATGTAATGAAAAAGCAAACATGACTTGAGTCCGGCTCCCCTATTTTGAGAGTGCCGGGAGGGGGGAGAAGAACTGCTCCAGCAGTCTGGTATCTGTACCGGTGTCATTAATCTTGGTGAATATCCAGAAAACTAGGGCCCTTAATCTTGGGAGTAGCAGCATACAGCGCACATGGTTTCATGCAAGAGAGAGCTTTACCAGGAAGTCAGCACCGGTTTACCTCCGGATATGGTAGATAACTCAAAATAGCTGCCTGACTGGACCCTTCAAATGTTTATCGAATATCCATGGAAAAACATGAGTGGGAATGTGCCTGTTGGCAGCTCCAATCAGGAGTCTGGGGGATGCGCGCGTACTCCTCTCGGAAGGATCATGTAATATTGGCCTACAAAGTGAGAACTCAGAGAACCGTTTCTGGTGCTCCAAGTTGCTATCGGGCATTTTATATGGGTTGTACCACATAGGTAGGCGTTGTTACCTCTCGATTTGAAGCGGTGTGAAATGTTCTGTCAATACACGAGTAGTTGCAGAGTACAAAGACAGAGTCATTCTATGCCTAAAGTGGGGCCGCAGATTATTTATCCGATATGGCTATCGTATCCGCTGCTTATAGTGGATCTGAAACGGCTGTGTGAGATTTCCTGTGTAACCGTGCACCGGAAAATGAACTTCAGGTAAGGGCAAACCACCCCATGAAAATGGGTTCTCGAGCCACTTCTTCACATTTAAACATTGAATTTGGGAGTTAGGTTCTGCAAACCGGAGAAACTCCTTCCAGGTAGCTCTTTTGCCTTGTTGTGTTGGCCCGGCCCCTCTTGCTTCCAGTGAGTGTTATCGCTCGTGCAGTAGGCACTTGGGCTTGAGAACCATTAATATGACACTAATTCCAAATGGTAGCCGATCGTCGGAGATTCCGTTGCTAGAAACCAGCAAATTTGAAAAAGTATGCTTACTATCTCACCGGAGTCATTTCGGTGAATTTTGAGCCTGTTGAGTTTCGATTTTGGTTGATCGGAGTATTCTCCAGTATCCGAATTTGGTAATGGTGTGGTCACCAACGCTGATGATGGTACGTAGTTCCAGAATTTCTCTTGCCATCTGGTGGGCAGTGAAACCCTTCTTGATGCCTTCTTTTCGCCTCATTTTAAGGTGAATTCCAGTGAATGTTTCGATAGGCCACGATTCTGCACGATATGAAGTAACTGGTGGCCGTGGCGACGGCAAAACTCTCTGCAACTGCAATCTCTGCGTCCAAAACTTTGAAGCTCTTGTCGATGAGTAAAGGAGGGCCAGCGGGCGAAGTTGCAAGCCTATCTTTATTCAGCCTCGAGCTTCTGAATGTAGGAAGTAAACCGCCCTGTCGCGCGGTACGTTGGAAATCGGTTTCGTTTTTCCCTCGTGCAAATTCGTGAAAATTGTTTTCGTTGTTCAATCCATTTACAGAGTACACACGAGCAGTTGTTGAATTTTATTACTCTAACAAAACATTTGAG